CATATATGAGGTGAATTGGCCAGGAATTGAACCTGGAAAATGAGTGTTCTACTACTGAACTATCACTGTTTCCTCTGGGCCCAAAGTGAAATAGTCAGGTATACAGAACACAGATCCTGTCAAGCAAAGACTTTCAGTCATCTTTCCTATGCAATCAGGAGTTAAGAGCCCAGGTGAGATGTATTCTTCATGACCACAAATATGGACATAAGACTGGAGTTAATGGCACATTCCAATCTAATACTTACGTCTTAATAGACAATCTGGACTCCTGGTGCCACTACAGGATTATGCAGTGGACCACAAGGCCATTTTCAACCACAAGGTCAGCCATTCAAACCCACCAACTGCTCCTTGGAAATCCTACACAGGGTTGCTATGGATAGGAAGTGACTCAACAGCACTTAACAACAATAGACAACCTTGAAGTCTACTGTTTTATAGTTATACAATTCAGAACAGAGTAGTGACAAGATTGAGTCCTTACACAAGGCTCTATATTTCAATAGTCCTCGGTCTTCATCTACTGCTAGGCTGGTATCTACGGGAGACTGGAGAAAGGAGTACCTGGGTGAACAAATGGTTCCCACTCTCATTTGAAAATTCAAAGATTGCAGGCTGGGGTCCACCTGCAAACCACAGCCATTGAGAACTCTAGTGTGCGCAGTTCTACTCTGAAAAACATGGGGTGCCCTGAGTCAGTGTCACCTCAACGACAACTAGAAGAAGTACTGACACCTATAAAAACCATCGCCATCCTAGTGTGGCGCTGAGGGTTAATGTGCTTTACTGAAAAGTCAGTTTGAACTGCAAGGTCAGCAGTTCAGGCTCACCAGTCACCCTCGGAAACCCTATACAGGGTCGCTATGGGTTGGAACCAACTCAACAGCACTTAACAACAACAATAACAACAACAATCTTCCTCACAAGACTAATGGTGGCATTGTAGGCTAAGTACTGTACTGTTAACACAGAGGTCAGTGGTTCAAATGCACCTCCTGGGAAAATTTACACAGGGTGGTTATGAGTCAGAACTGACTCGATGGCACTAAGCAACAGTAACAACAATATCCACCTCCAAAGGAGCCCTGGTGGAACTGTAGGGTTAGCACTGAACTGCTAACTGAAAGGACAGTAGTTCAAACTTACCAGCTGCTCCGTGGAAATTCTGTATGAGTTGGAAGCAATTCAACAGCACTTAACATCAACAAACTGCCTCACATTCCTTTCCAACACCAATTCATAACTGCAAAGCCTAAAGCTTCTGGCTCCTGGCAATTTTACTGTTGTTGTTACGTGCCATTGAGTTGGCTCTGACTCATAGTGGTGATCCTATGCACAGCAGAATGATACACTGCCCAGTCCTACACCAACCTCACAATTCTTGTTACACTTGAGTCCATAGCTACTGCCTTTGTATCAACCCATTTGGTTGGGGGGAGGGGTCTTCCTCTTTTTTTGCTAGCCCTCTACTTTACCAAGCATGATGGGACTGGTTTCTCCTTATAATATATCTGAAATATGATAGACAAAATCTTGCCATCTGTACTTCTTCTAAGACAGATTTTATTAATCAGAACTTAATAAAAACAGCAGGATTTTTGGACATATAGTATTTAACAGAATAATACAAAGCTTAAGAAAACATTCTATTTCTAAAGAATTCATCAGAGGTGGATTCAGGGATCCAAAATTAGATTGTGTCAGCAGTTTGGGGAAATGCAGCAGTGGGTTTCAGATACCTAGGCACACATGCAGCTAGTGTTCTGGAGGCTGGTTGCAAAGTACTGGGGATCATGTCCCACCATCATAGTCTCCCAGAAAGTATAACTAGTCCCACTTTACATAAGGAAATCAAGCCTCATCAATATTTAATAATATGCTCCAGGACATACCACAGAAAAGTGGTGGATTCAGGACTTGAGCCCTCATCGGCTTGACTGCATGTTTAACCACAGGGCCATTGTGCTTCCACTTACCATGGCAGGGGTTTGGAAAGCACAAACCAGGGTCAAGGTTCAGCTCCAATATGCCAACAGCCTTGGAGTTGACTCTGACTCCTGTCAGTCAGCTGTGTCTCAGAGTAGAACTGTGTTCCATTGGGTTTTCAAGGGTTGAATGGGATCAGTAGGCTAAGCCCCTTACACTTCTAATAGAAATTGTTTTGTATGGTATTGTATACTCCAATGTTGCCAGGTGAGATTACATAAATAAGTGAAGTGGGTCAGGTGAAAGACATGAGAGAATAGGAGCCTTGGTCAACTAGCATGGCCAACACCATCTTCCACCTGGAAGAGCCCTCCGCCATCTCCAACTATTTGGTATTAGTCACATAAACCAAAACTGCCAAGTAAAATCTGGAAATCACTTTTTTTGTGTGAAAACCCAATTTTGAAAAAATGACAAACAGTAACCACAACAATCCACTTCCATAGGAGTTATGCTGATGCTGTAGGATAAATACTGGACTGCTAACTGAAAGGTCAGTGGTTTAACCCCTCCAGTTGCTCCTTGAAAACCCTTACACAGTTGGTATGAATTCAAATTGACTCAATGGTGTTTAATAACAACAATAATCTTCCTCACATTCCTTTCCACTGCCAACTCAAAATTACATAACTCAGAATTTCAATCCCTACAAGGTAAACAAGGAGTCCTAGTGTGGTGCTGTGGGTTAATGTGCCAGACTGCAGAGCCATTTGAACTGCAAGGTCGGTGGTTCAAGCTCACCAGTTGCTCCTAGAAAACCCTATGCAGGGTCATTATGGGTTGGAATCCACTCGATGACACTTAACAACAACAACAACAAAGGTAAACAAAGCATATTCTGGGTTCTAGTCAGTACCCTCTACTTTACACTGTACACTCTTTCTTATTCACTGCCATGTCCCCAGTCCTTAGGAAAGAGAATAGGAGCTTTATAAACATTGGTAGAACAAATTAATGAGATCTAAAATCAGCAACATGGAGAAAGACAAAGAAGAGCCAAGCTCCAGTTCTTGGTACAGACTTGTCTTAAGAACCAAGGCAGACCAGGAGAAAATGCTACAGCCAGAACCAGCAGCTCAGCAGGGAGTTGAAATCAGGGTCTGGGGGCCACTCCCATTGTTTCTTTCATAAAGCACAGTTGGTGTGGGTACTTGGGAATGAGACTGAATCAGCTACTAGAAGTTATGTTTGGAACTTAGGCAGGCAGGCAGGGATGGGGATGATAAACCTGAACTACCTCTCCTAATGTAGCTCTTCGGTTTCAGTATGTTCCCTGTGGTCTAGTGTGGGAAGTGGAATGGATGGTGCTACAAGTCAAAAACACTGAGAAAAACCATGAATCGATCAACAGTAAATTACCTGAGTGGTGCAAAGGGTTAGCACACTCAGTTGCTGGTTCAGCCAGAGGTATTTCAGAAAAAAGTACTGGTCATCTACTTCCAAAACAGTCAGTCTTTTAAAAGCACAGTTCTACTATGACATGCATGGAGTTGCCACATTAGTCCAAATTGACTCAATAGCTAAAGATTATATGATACCCCAAGATCAATAGTAAAACAAAACTAAGTCCTCATAAAAAGAGACATTTTTAGCTCTACAACTGCACTTGAACATATCCAACCTTACCAACAGAAGCTCTGTTCTAAGACAACAAAGTGAATCTCACACACCTAAGCTGTCACAGCCTGAGCACTAGCTCAGTAAACAAGCAGGGCTTCTATAGTGTGTCATGAACAAGGAGGGCTGCTTCTTGTGACTCTCTGCCTTAGTTTACCTGATTGGCACAATTTGATGCAAATCTTTCTGATCCTCCCAGTCTCTGTCATTGATCTTACCCAAGTCTGAGGGTACTAGTAATTTCAAGAGGGATGCAAAATAAATGCTCAGCTGTTAACTGAAAGGTTGGAAGTTCAAGCCCATACAGAAGTGTCTTAGGAAAAAGACTCGGTAATTCACTTAAAAACATAGCCATTAAAAAGTCTATGAAGCACAATTCTCCTCTGATACACAAAGACTTGCCATGAGTTGAAGTTGACACTACACAATAGCTTTTAGCAACCTCAGGGGCTAATGTGTCAGAATACACATTCCTTTATTAACTCTCAAAGAAACTGGTCCTTTTTCTTCTCCCAAACTGAGAGTGACGTTAAACAATGTAATATTTAACTAAAGGGGCACTATTATTAGGAGCAAACTGTCCACCATTCAAATAAGTCAAAGACTTCATTTTGCTTGGATATATAATCAACACTCATGGAAGTAGCAATCAAAACATAAAACGACATATTGTGTTAGGCAAATCTCCTGCACAAGAGCTTTTTAAAGAGCTCAAAAGTAAAAATATCAGTTGTACTGACCCAAGACATGGTATTTGAAATCACCTTATATGCAGGGAAAGTTGGACAATGAATAAGTTAAATCTTAGAAGAATCAGTACATTTGAATGAAGTCATTGGAGAATATTGAAACTACCAGAACAAATACATCTGTCTTAGAAGAAGTACAATCAATATGCTACTTGGAAGCCAGGGTGGCTAGACTTGGTCTCTCATACTTCGCATTGTCAGGAGGGACCAGTCCCTGAAGAAGGAGGGTCCATGAAAAAGAGGAAGCCCCCAACAAGATGGATTATCACAGTAATAGTTGTGAGGATTGCACAGGACCTGCCAGCATTTCATTCTGTTGTGCAGAGGGTGGCTATGAGTAGGAACTGACTCAACAGCACATAATAACAACAGTGAGTTGAGATTGATGTTAAACAATGTCATTTTTAACCAAAGAGATGCTATTTTTAGGAGCCAACTGCTCATCATTCATAAGCACCTTGCTGCCCTGGGGATGAATATTGCTTGCCATTTTTATGACATTGCACAACCCTCTTCTCCAAGCAACCAATCAAAGGCTACTTGTGGAGACTTTAAAGCCAACAACTTCATCTTGTAATTCATGCCAGAAGTACCCCCCAGAAAGCTGTATCATCCTATTACACTTTTTAAAATCAGGAGACTGACCTTTAGGAACACGGGAAGAAGATTCAGCAGGCTCTTCTTATGTTCATCTGGGGTCCTGAAATTCACCTGCTTGTGTTCCAGAAACTTCTTTTCTAACACCAACCAGAGAGCATTGGGGCTAGGGGGCTGCTCTCCATGTGAGAAATCAGGCTGCGCAATACCATGCCAGTCATCACTGTTGGAACTTGGATCCGGCGCACTGTCTCCAGTCAATGGAGTATCTTCTGATTCCATGTCTTAGCAAAGCAGATCTGAATTCAGAGTAATACACAAACAAAATGAAAAGTTATGTCACAGTACTTCCTGATGAAACTGGTATGGGACAGGGCTCAGTATTCATTCAGTCCAGTTCCTATTTAAGACAGTTCCTCTAAGAATCTGAAACCAGAGAAAATAAGGAAGACTTTTTCTAAAGATTCTGATTTCAGTGTGACTAATATGAGTCCTGGTGTGGTGCTGTGGACTAAAGCACTGGACTGCAAGGTCTGTTTGAACCACAAAGTCGACTGTTCAGACTCACCAGCCACTCCTTAGAAACCTTGTAGAGTCACTACAAGTCGGAACCGACTTGACAGCACGTAACAACAACAGCATATTAATGGGTAGTGTGGTGACTCCACACACTAAGGACTGGATGAGCAAACCACAAGGTCTAAGTTCAAGCTTGTTAGTTGCTCCACAGTGTAAAGATGAGGCTTTCTGCTCCTGAAAAGATTTAGAGCCTCAGAAACCCTATACAGGGTTGCTATGAGTCGGAACTGGCTCAAAGCATGTAACAACATATTGACAATTGAATATACATCAGGGACTGTGCTCAGCTTCTTATACAGACTATCTTACAGTCACAAAGACGGTTGTGTTATTCTTTTTTTGTTGTTGTTATTCTTTTTATATAAGTGAAAAAAACAACCAGGCCAAGATATTCCAGACAACTAGAGGTCAAGATAAAATGCAAATATTTAGCCTCAAAGGCTGCTTATTTGCTGGTTTTAATTACCTTATGTTGCTTTTCTTCTAGGAAACTGAGTTAGAAGAGAAACGTGTAAAATTCCCCAATATTTATAGAAGCATGAATTTCTACATATGAAATCATAAATTCCCTCTACAACATGAGTTTGAAAGGATATAGGTTCCTGATTCTCAAAATTATTTGGTTCACACTCAATATCTTTAATTGGCCTCAAAACAATTCTTTAAATCCCTGAGTTAACTTAAAAGGCCCCTTCTATAAGGTTATGAATCAGACTGTGAACCACAAGGTCAACAGTTCGAAACTACCAGCTGTTCCCCAGGAGAAAGATGAGGCGTTCTGCTCCTGTAAAGATTTACAACCTCGGAAACCCTGTACAGGGTCACTATGAGTCGGAACCGACTCCACGGCACACAGCACCAGCCACCATAAGTGCACACAGGCGAAATTCAAGTCATCTTGGAAACTCAGGTCAGTATCCATAGAGAACAAGATATTATGCAAAGAAAATAGCTAGAAATTTCTACTAGCCAGATATCCTTGAGAATGTGCCTTTATTTATGTCCTTGACTTTTCAATTGTCAAGCTCCTTAGGTAAATCAAGATTGATTCACAGGAGTAAAGAAAGCACCAAGGAGACACCAGAATGCCCTGGAATGCTGCAAGAAGCCACCTCTAACCATATGTGAGCTTAGAGGTCCCATGTGATGGGAAATACAGTTCTGGAGTCTTGTCAGTGCATGGCTATCACATGGTAGCAACCAGTTGGACAGACACACAGTTGGTTTTTCAGTATCTGTATCATCCTATTACACTTTACTAAGGTTTTCAGTAGCTGATTTTTCGGAAGTAGATTACCAGGTCTTTCCTCTAAGGCACTTCTGAATAAATTTAAACCAGCAACCTTTCCATTAGCATCTGAATACTCCACAGTTTGTTACTACTTAGAGACTCCCGGCCTCACTCAAGACACCAGCAATTCCTAATGCTACTTTCAAACCCCTCCAGTTAGCCAAGTACCAAGTGCTGCCCTCAGTTAGCCAAGCAGGGAAACTGGGGTGTACCTGTAGGAAGAAAATGGCAGAGCCCAAGCCCCAAAACCTGCTGCAGTCAACTCAAGAGGAAAAGGGTTCCTCTTACTTCCAAAAGCTCAGGAATTCCCCTCTAAACTAAGATGGGGTCTCAGATTGGCAGGAACCAGGCAATCCAACCACAGTCTACCATGACCGGTACTCAGAACTTCCTTTTTCTGATTTGCTATGTGTTTGTTTTCCAACCTAGCACATACCTCTGTGGTTTTTACAAATTCAACAGAATACAGGAACTCAAATAGCACTGCAGAAAGGGCCAGTTTTGTATTTAAGTATGTGTACCAACTTCTACATTGCGAAAACAGTCACAAAGTATTTCCCCAGAAAAGACTATTCCAGATTAATGAAGGCTGAGCTATCCTTTCTGTCAGAAGGAGTGGGGCTGGGATATCACAACTTCCATAATCCCACGAACCTCTCCAGCGTAGTAACTAATTGAGGGCTGGATTGCCAGTGAAATGTAAGGAAATGCTGTTTAAACAGGCCAGCGTGACTAAATGAGAATCTACTCTGACAAACATTAATTAGAGACATTTCTAATCCAATAAAACCTGTAGATCAGGTATTCTCTTATCCCCATTATACAGATAAAAATGCCAAGATTCAGAAAATGTGAGATGCACAAAAGCAGGAAACTGCTAACAAGCATCAAAATTCAAATCCAGATGTTCATGACTCGGGAGACATCCCCTTCCACCTAGCCATAATTGGTTTTCATACTACATTTAATAATGGTTAAGAATATATCCCTGAGAACTCCTGTTAGTCGCTGGAAACTGTCACTACAGGTAGCACTGCAGGGTTTTCTGGATATATTTGCTAAGTTGTTGCTGTGCTTGGTCATAGGAATTCTAGAACATGGTCTGCTGTCCTGTCTACATACCCCTCCTCACATCTCAACTCCTAGAAAGAGGGAAACTGCAACTTTATACTTCTTTTATTTAATATTTTATTGTATTTTCAGTGAAAGTGTACTTGGAAAATTAGGTTTGTATTTAACAATCTCTATACAAACTGTTCAGTGACATTAGTTACATTTTCCCCAATGTGTCAAGACATTCTCTTTAATTACATTCTGTTTGTTCCATTTCCAGTGCTGTAGTTTCCCTGTTCCTTTATCTTATCTTTGTTTTAGAGTAATTGTTGACCTTTACACATCAAATAGACATCTTCTTTAAGCAGCCTTTATGTATCTAAAGCCACATGTAAAGGGAAGAGCATTAAAAACATGAAAGGATGGATAGGTTGGCTCCCACAATGGTCTTTTATAATAAAGTTTGTTAAATTTCAAATATAATTTGGTCAGAAAATAAACATGAAAATTGTGAATTAAACCTTCAGACAGTATCTGGAAGTAAAGGACTTAAGCATGTTTTAGTTTTCAGGGACCATAGAAACAAAGCAACGCCCCATTGTCCACTGTGCCTGGCTTAGGTAAAAAAAGAGAACACTTTCATATACAATTTTGTCCCACAGTGCTTTGTCATTGAAATGAAGAGCAGAGAAACAGTGCTGGCAGTTGGGTAAAAGGCTTCAGCCCTGGAGATGCATGCATTGTTAATCTGTGGCTCAGTTTCCTCACCTATTGAAGGAGACATTTGGAAAAAATGTTCCTTAAGGGTTTGTCTGCCAATGAAGATCTGTGCTTTTCAGACATTGTAAAAAAAAACTCACAAATTATAGAAGATGTCTTCTAAAAATCAGAAACTTATGTGTATCAAAATATTTTACCAAAAGAGTGCAGACAGACTGTTACTACAAGAACAAAAAAGTTGCTTGCCCAGGTAACATCAAGGCAAGTGGTCAGGTCCCCTCAGTGCAAACCCCTTTCCAAGACTAAGACTCAATGGGAATACACGCTCTGATTGGTGACCACACTCATCACCGATAAGGGGAAGTGAGAGAAAAACAGCAATGAAGAGGCGAGCTAAGCCCTACAATGTTCATTAGGCTTCTGTGAACCCAGGCCAAGACCTGGTTGGCCAGCAGTGTGGCAAGACCTGGGGACTCTTGGGCCCAGAGTCAGTGACATAGCCACACAGTACTAGAGTGGAGAATGAAGCGTTCAGCTGATAAAAAGAAAGGACATATGCACAAGAACACCCACACTTGCAGATAATACCCATTTGACCTGACTTCAATGACTGGATGATCAGAGCTCAACCATAAGAAGAAAGAAGAGGGAAAAAAAAAAAGAGTAATCTGATACAATTTGATGAACTTGACCTACACCTATGGATGCAGTAACTCAAAAGAGGGAACAAATCCTTACAGCAAGAATCATTCCCACCCACTCCACACAGAGTAGACAGGGACGGGCAACTTGGACACTGTCTACCCAAAATGAGGGGGGAGGGGCTACAAAAGCAAGAAGTGACTGGCTTACAAGCTTTCAAGTGGAAACCTAGAGCCATAGAGCCAGGAGGAAGGCAGAATCTCCAGTGAGTAGTATCCAATCTGTCTAGGCAGGGCTAATGAGACGAAAAGCAGATGGGTCTCTTGTGATACAATAGTGAATAATTGTTATCAGGACTGATTTTGAGGGTTGGCAATATAAAGGTAGACGTTTTATAACAAGGAAGGGAGTGATTAACATTACAGTCTAGGAGCGGAGGCCCCTAGGACCATTAATGGAGAAGAGCGGAGTGCGGAACCCTGCCCAGAGAAGCAGTGATGCCTGAGATGAAGGCAGAGACGATGACGTGGAGCGATGGAACAGTGGGGGACTTTAGATCCAGAGAGGGAGAGGGACTGTGTGTTGAAGACCAGGGGAGAGGGGAAGGAAGGGTGTGCGGAGCTGGCTTGCAGGGTATACCCTTTGAAATGATATATAATAGAATGAATGTAAAACTAATGCTCTTCCATGTAAACTATCACATAACTTACAATAATACATTAAAAATAAATATATATATTTTATCAAAACAGTGAAAAGGGAGCCCACACTGGGAAACAATTTTTGCAATAACATATCAGGCAAGGGACTAATCTCTAAAATCTCTTGGCCACTACAACACCTCTACAAGAAAAAGACAAATAACCCAATTTTAAAAAAATGGCACAGGACATAAACAGACACTTCACCAAGGAAGACATTTGGGCAGCCAACAAACATACAAAAAAATGTTCACAATTATTAGCCATTGTTGTTGTTAAGTGGCATGGAGTTGGTT